GGTGTGTGTGGTGTGTGTGGTGTGTGTGGTGTGTGTGGTGTGTGTGGGTGTGTGGGTGTGTGGGTGTGTGCACGTGCGCGCACATATGCACATGTGAGGGAGAAAGAGACTGAGAGTTGTGTGTGGGTGTGGGAGGGTTGTGGGGGGAGAGTGAGAGAGAAAGAGTATGTTTATGTGGGAGAGAGCGAGGGTGTGTATGTGAGGGAGAGAGAGAGTGTGTGTGTGCGTGTGTGTGTGTGTCTGCTTGAGACACAGTGTATGAATGAGAGAGGATCTGCATGAGTGTGTGAGTGCGTGTGTGTGAGTGTATAGTAAGGTGGGGTCACCTGTAGTGTGGCATGAACCCAAGGTCCCAGTTGAGACCATCCTCATGGGTACCAAACTTGGCTATTAGCCCCTGCTCGGCAACTCTGTGTTGTGTATCCTGAAGTCCACCTTTGGAGGACGTTTACCCAAAGATCTGAGGCTGAATGTCCTTCACCGCTGAAGAGCTCCCCTACTGGGTGGGAACAGTCCTGCCAGGGAATTGTTGCACGGTGTCTGTCCATCCGTTATTTTTATTTTAGTGCACGAAGAAGACCACACCTTCCACATGTCCTCACACATTTGAGTGTTCAGGTGATTGAATCAACTGCTCAGTATCTTCTCAGGACCTGTCAACCTTGTAAAGTCCATCCTTCAATACCTGTTTGAGGCTGTAAATCTTCAGTTGTTTGGTAAATCCTTCCGGAATGAACCCTTTACTCTGCATCTGCTCATAACGAGGTCTATGGATTCTGTCAGTTTCTGTTAAAATGGCGTGAATTCTTGTCAATGAATTCGGGAGTTTAATTTGACTCTAATTTTTCTAATGAGTTTCTAATGAGGTCCACAACTTTTGGAGAGTTTTTAATTGCTTGGTTGTTAATAGTGATGTGTAGACTTTAATTCCTAATTGCTAAGTAAATTTTAATCGCCTACTGTTGTCTCAGACACTTCTGAATGTGAAAACCATATCTCTGAATTTGTTTCACCATTTTAGATTCTGTTAGAAGCTCTGCCTTGTCCCAAATTACACTGAGAATATTGTGGAAATGCTGACAATATGCTTTAAGCCTTCCACTGCATGCTGTCAATCTGGCACACGCCCTGATCACCTGCCTTTCCTACAGCCCTAAAGGTCGTTAATGAACCAGATGAGGTTTTACAACAGTCAACAATGTTACCATGGACTAGTTTTTTTTTCAATTCTAGATTTTTTAAACCACTCACTTCAAATTTCACCATCTGCCACTTTGGGATCAGAATCTCGAACATTAGGCTGGAGGTCAGGATTACCAGTGCCTCCCTATAGCTCTTCTTACCTGTACACTCAGTCTGGTTACACATTCTAAATTCCATCTCTTGGCCTTGGCAATGCTTCCCCCCAAAGAGGGGTCCATGGGCTGCTCGATATCGATGCTGCACTGGAGAAACACAGGAACAGTCTGACCACACACTCCAAAGGCCAAACTCACAGTCCACTGGAGAGCAAAAATATAGAGAAACACTTTATTAACAGAGTAAAGATTGTGATAGAAACAGTATAAACTAGACAGAGGCTAACTTAGAGGGACAGAGTGAGTGAGAGACAGAGAGTGAGGGAGATAGAGAGAAAAATGGAAAGGAGAAGAGACAGAAATCATTCATCCCAGGAATGTTGCGTGAACTTTCTCAGAACAGCTTAGAGAGTCATAGAGTCCTACAGCACGGAGACAGGCCTTTTGGCCCAAACGGGTCCATGCTGACCAAAATGTCTGTCCACACTAACCCCATTTCTCTGCACTTGGCCCATATACTTATAAACCTTTCCTATCCATGTATTCATCCAAATGCCTTTTAAATGTTGTTAATGTACCTGCCTCAACCACCTCCACTGGCAGCTTATTCTACATGCGTACCACCCTCTGTGTAAGAAAGCTGCTCCTCAGGTTCCCATGTATTCTTTCCCCTCTTATCTTAAACTGATGCCCTCTAGTCCTCGATTCTTCAACTCTGGGAAAAAGTCTGAGTGCATTCACTCTATCCATGCCTCTCATGATCTTTCCTGTTTAATAACATCCTTCCTATAGCAAGGTGACCAAAACCGAACACAATACTCCAAGTGCAGCCTCAACAACATCCTGTACAACTGCAACTTAATTTCCCAACATTCCAAACTCAGCACCCTGACTGATGAAGGCCAGTGTGCCAAAAGCCGTCTTCACTGCCCTGTTTACCTGTGACTCCACTTTCAGAGAACTGTGCACCTGAACTCCAAGGTCCCTCTGTTCCACTACACTCCTTAAGGCCCTACCATTCACCATGGAGATCCTACCTGGATTTGAATTTCCAAAATGCAACACCTTACATTTATCTATATTAAATTCCATTTGTCATTTCTCGGCCCACTTCCCCAGCTGATCAAGAACCTGTTGCAATTTCTAATAACCTTCCTTACTGTCCATGATACCGCCTGTTTTAGTGTCATCTGCAAACTTACTAATCACGCCTCGTACATTCTCATCCAAATCATTGATACACATAACAAACAGCAATGGGCCCAGCACCAACCCTTGAGACACACCGCTAGTCACAGGCCTCCAGTCCGACAAACCTCCTTCCACTATTACTCTCTGCTTCTAACCATCAAGCCAATTGTGTATCCAATTTTCCAGCTCTCCCTGGATTCCATGTGATTTAACCTTCCAGAGCAGCCTACCATGTGGAACCTTATTAAAAGCCTTACTGAAATCCATATAGACTATGTCTACTGCCCTGCCCTCATCAACCTTCCTGGTCACTTCATCAAAGAACTCTAACAAAGTTATGAGGCATGATCTCCCACACAAGAAGCCATACTGACTACTCCTAATCAAACCCTGTCTTTCCAAATGCATGTATATCTTATCCTTCAGAATCTTCTCAAGTAATCTACCTACCACAGATGTTAAGCTATAATTCCCAGGTTTTTCTTTGCAGCTCTTCTTGAATAAGGGCACAACATTCGCTACCCTCCAGACTTCCAGGACTTCATGCATGGCTAACAATGATGCAAATATATCAGCCAGGGCCCCTGCAATTTCTTCTCTAGCCTCTTGCAGGGTTCTTGGATATACCTGATCAAGATCAGGAGATTTATCCACCTTCATGCATTCTAAGATTCTAACATCTCCACTGCAGTGATATGGACTGTCCCCAAGATATCACCACTAACTTCCCCAAGTTCCCAAGTCTTCATGTCCTTCTCTATGATAAACACAGAGGAGAAATATTCATTGAGGACATTGCCCATCTCTTGCAGTTCCACACATACATGTCCACTTTGGTCCTTCAGGGATCCTATTCTCTCTCTAGTTATTCCTATTCCTTTAATATACTTAAAGAATCTCTTTGGATTCACTCTAAGCTTCGGCTGAGAAGATATCTTGTGCCCTCTTTTCGGCCTCCTGATTTCCTTCTTCAGCAAACTCCTGTATCTGCTATATACCTTCAGGAACTCCCTTGATCCCAGCTGCCTGTTCTTGAGCTATGCCTCCTCCTTTCTTCTGGTTAAGGCCTCAATATTTCTTGTCATCCAGGGTTCCATACTCCTGCCAACCTTGCCCTTCACCCTCACAGGAACATTTAGACCTTGAACTCTAGCTATCACACTTTTAAAGGCTTCCCACTTGCCAGAGGTCCCTTTGCCTGCAAATAAACTGCTCCAATCAACCCCTGCAAGTTCCTGTCTAATTCCATCAAAATTCACCTTGCCCCAATTTAGAACTTGAAACTGTGGACCAGCTTTGTCCTTCTCCATAACTATTTTAAAATTAATAGAACTATGGTCACTGGTCCCAAAGTGCTCCCCCACTGCCACCTCAGTGACCTGTCCTGCCTACTTCCCAAGAGTCAGTTGAGTTTTGCCCCTTCCCAACTGCTATATACTGCTTGAGAAAACTTTCCTGAACACTTTTAACAAATTCAACCCCATCTAAGCTTTTAACACTTATGGTAATCCCAGTCTGTCAGCTTCTGAAACAATTATATTCTTTCTTTCTAATAAGAGACCAAAACTGTTCACAGGACTCCAGATATAGTCTCACCAATGGCTTGTACAGCTGTAGTACATTTGGTCTACTTTTAGATTTTGTTTATGTTGCAATAGACAGCATTCTTCCTACATATTTGCATCCTAATGATTTGAGATTCATTTACCAGGTCACCCAGATCCCTAACTGTCACCAGTTTCTGCACTTTCCCACCACTTGACTAATATACTACTGTTCTACTCTTCCTGCCAAAGTGGACAAGTCCATATTTTCCCAGGTTATACTCCGTCCAACTGCCAAATGTTTTCTGACTTGCTTAACCTGTGTCTATCCCTTTGCTCCAACTTCTCCATAACTCACTTTCTGACCTAGCTTGGTGTCAACAGAAAATTTAGCCATCTCAAATTTGTTCTCCACATCCCTCATCTGAATTATTGAAACAGATTGTAAGCACTGACCCCTGCGGTACTCCACTAATGATAGCTTGCAATCCTGAGAAAGACCCATTTATCCCACCTCGCTGCTTCCTGCTTATTACTTCATTACTTATCCTTGTTAATATGTTGCTGCTAATACTATACAGCTCTTTTGTTGTGAGGAAGTATTCAATGTGGGTTCAATGCAGGAACTCCTTTATTAAGCCTGTCTGTTATTAAAACCTTAGAGGCCTCAAACCTTAGAGTGTCTGTTGTTATGTCAAGATACAGATACAGAAAAATGGAATTTAGCAAGCACTGACCTGGACATGGCTGCGTGTAGCAGGGTTCCAGTATCTTCTGCTCCTCTTGTGCCTCTGAACAGTTTCTGCTCCTGTACCCTGTACCACAGGTGTGTGAACATGGGCTCCATACTGACCAAAGACAGCTGTCTCCTGCCAATGTACAAAACCCAAGACTCCAGTAACACATTTTTAACGGTTACATATGAAGCCTCTCAATCACTCCTTAATTCCTCTCGAGTGTGACCAACTATCTTTCTGGTTTTCCTACTGCCTGTCTGTGTTTCTCTTCGTATCTCTCTGTCCATTCTCAGCACCAATCTCAGCTTCTCTCTCTCTTTCTCTCCTTCCCTGTCTTTCACAAAAGTGTTTCACTTCCAGTGAATCAATCTGACTCATTGTCCTTCCACCAGTCTCTGTCTCCCTGATCCTTCATTTCTTTTGTACTCACTGTCTTGGATTTCCCTCTCACCAGTGTTATGTACTCATCTCCTTTTCCCATGTCTTGATATTTTTCTCCCATACCTCACATTACCAATCTCACCCTCTGCCTCATTCTCTTGTTCTCCTTCCCTCTGAAAAAAGCCTTTTCCATGCCATACAGACTGGTTCAGCACCATGTACCTGGGCAGGGTGGGTTGCTACAATTCTGAGTTTCAACGCTGACACCCTGACAGTCTGAGCCCATATTCCGAGGTGGAGGGTTGATACAGGCTCTCGTCCGAGTCTGTGATCCATGGTCACAGGTAACTGGACAGTCTGACCATGGTGACCAAGGTGTCCATCTTCCGTTCACTGGATAAAAAGAGAGAGGTAAGAAGAGTTAGGTCAAGAGAAGAGATAGTGTATCAATACACCAGGAGGGGAAGACAGAGTGTTAGTGAGTGATCATTCAACCCCTGGGACCTGCTGTAACACCCAACAATACACCTTGTTCAGACTATCTCCTTGAGATTTGCTAAAATGGACATTTTCTTTAAGCTTTTTGCCTGCCCTCATCAGGACATTTCACAAGATCACAACAAGACCATAAGATATAGGAGCAGAATTAGCCATTCAGTCCATCAAGTCTGCTCCAACATTCGATCATGACTGGTAATGTTTCACAATTCCATTCTCCTGCCTTCTACCATAATCCTTGACCCTCTTACTACTCAACAACCTACCTATTTCCATCCTAAATACAATCAACAACTTGGTCTCCACAACCCTCTGCAGCAATGAATCCCATACAGTAACCACCCTCTATCTGAAAAAATTCCTCCTCATTACAGTTCTAAAGGGTCATCTCTTCACTCTGCAGGCGTGCCATCAGATACTAGTCTCTCCTATGCATGGAAACATCTTCGCCACATCCACTCTATCCAGGTCTCTCAGTGTCCTATAAGTTTTAATCAGATCCTCCCTCATCCTTCTAAACTCCATCGAGTACAGACCTCCAGTCCTCAACCTCAACCTCAACCGCTCCTCATGTGACAAAACCTTCATCCCCACGATCATTTTTGTAAACATCCTCAGGGCTCCCTCTAACACCAACATATCCTTCCTTAGATGCGGGGCCCAAAACTGCCACAATATTCCACATGTGGTCTGACCAGAGCCTCATGCAGCTTCAGCAGTACATCCCTGCTCTTATATCCTAGCCCTCTTGAAACGAATGCTAACATTGCACCGGCCTTCCTAACTGCCAACTGAACTTGCCTGTTAACCACAAGCGAATCTTGAACTAGAATTCTCAAGTTCCTTTGTGCTTCAGATTTCTGAAGCCTTTCCCAGGTTAGAAAATAAACCATGCCTCTATTCTTCCCACTCGAAGTGTAAAACCTCACACTTTCCCACACTGTATTCCATCTGTCACTTCTTTACCCACTCTCCTAGCCTGTACAAGTCCTTCTGCAGCCTCCCCACTTCCTCAACACTATCTGTTCCTCTACCTATCTTTGTGTCATCTGCAAACTTAGCAACAATGCCCTCAGTTCCTTCATTCTAGATTGCTAGTGTATACAAGAATACCATAACAAGACCAAAAATAATATTTACACTGCATGACACACACTGCTGACTGGTTGACAAGTAGATTCTGATTGGTAGAGGTATTGTCATGGAGAGTACACCAATTAATGATGATTGACACTTAGCTGCCAGGTTTTGTTTAAATTTTGAACTGGGCTGTTTGACTCTGATTGGTGAGGGCAAATGGTGAGTGTCCAGAGGGATATAGACAGATTAAGGAAGTGAGCAAAAATGTAGCTGAAGGAATATATTGCGGGGTAACATGAGGTTATTCACTTTAGTGGGGAGAAGAGAGAAGATGAATATCATCTAAATGGGGAAACATTTAAAAGCAGTCTATAAGGCTCCTTGGTTTCAGCTCTTTTCAGAAATATAACTTTCCTCTAAAATCATTCCCATGGATACCTCAGTTGCTTGACCTGGTTATATATTCAATATTTCTGAGATAATCTGTTGATTGCTGGCTTTGTCCCAAGTCTTGAGGAGGACCATTGTAGACTCTCACAATATTCCAACTGGAATGTTGCAGTTTCTGTTCCCTCACAACATTCAATTGAGATTCCACTAAGGGATTGCTGAAGCTTGTTTCTTTATTCAGCTAACATTGCAGGTCCTTTTACTATTTACTTTGGCCCCCAGCTCCCAGTAAGCTCTAAAAAAAAGCAGAAAAAAGGCAGGATGGCAGTGCAGGTGTCCCCTGCAGTCATCTCCCTCCAAAACAGGTATACCGTTTTGGATACTGTTCGGGGAGATGGCTCACCAGGAGAAGGCAGCAGTAGCCAGGTTCATGGCACCGTGGCTGGCTCTGCTGTACAGAAGGGCCAGAAAAAGAGTGGAAGGGCTATAGCCATAGGGGATTCGATTGTAAGGGGAGTAGATAGGTGGTTCTGTGGTCGAAAACGAGACTCCCGAATGGTATGTTGCCTCCCAGGTGCACGGGTCAGGGATGTCTCAGATCGACTGTGGGACATTCTGAAGGGGGAGGGTGAACAGTCAGCTGTCGTGGTGCATATAGGCACCAATGATATAGGTAATAAACGGGAAGAGGTCCTACAAGCAGAATTTAGGGAGTTAGGAGCCAAGTTAAAAAGTAGGACTTGAGAGGTAGTAATCTCAGGATTGCTACCAGTGCCACGTGCTAGTCAGAGTAGAAATGAAAGAATAGGCAGGATAAATGAGTGGCTTGAGAGATGGTGCAGGAAGGAGGGGTTCAGATTTTTGGGACATTGGGACTGGTTCTGGGGGAGGTGGGACTATTACAAATCGGATGGTCTACACCTGGGCAGGACTGGAACCAATGTCCCAGGGAGTACTTTTGCAAACGCTGTTGGGGAGGGTTTAAACTAATGTGGCAGGGGGATGGGAGCCAAATGAGGAGGCTAGTGGACAATAAGGAGGTAGTAACTAAAGCCTGTAAGGAACTAGATAATGAAGTCAGTGTGACTAAGGGGAAGAGCAGGCAGAGAGCAGATGATGAACGCAAAGGGACAGGTGGTCTGAGGTGCACTTGTTTTAATGCGAGAAGTGTAGTAGGTAAGGCAGATGAACTTAGGGCTTGGATTACTACCTGGGAGTATGATGTTATTGCTACTACTGAGACTTGGTTGAGGGAAGGACAAGAATGGCAACTAAATATCCCAGGATATAGATGCTTCAGATGGTATAGAGAAGGAGGTAAAAGAGGTGGAGGAGTTGCATTACTGGTCAAAGAGAATATCACAGCTGTGCTGAAGGAGGGCAATATGGAGAACTCGCGCAGTGAGGCAATATGGGCAGAGCTCAGTAATAGGAAGGTTGCGGTAACAATGTTGGGGCTGTACTACAGGCCTCCCAACAGCAAGCGTGAGATAGAGGCAAAAATATGTAGACAGATTATGGAAAGATGTCAGAGCAACAGGGTGGTGGTGATGGGAGATTTTAATTTTCCCAACATTGACTGGGATTCACTTAGTGTTGGGGGTTTAGATGGAGCAAAATTTGTAAGGAGCATCCAGGAGTGTTTTCTAGAGCATTATGTAAATAGTCCAACTCGGGAAGGGGCCATACTGGACATGGTGTTGGGGAATGAGCCTGGCCAGTTGGTTGAAGTTTCAGTAGGGGATTACTTTGGGAATAGTAATCACAATTCCATAAGTTTTAGAATACTGATGGACAAAGACGAGAGTGGTCCTAAAGGAAAAGTGCTGAATTGGGGGAAGGCCAACTATAGCAAAATTCGACAGGAGCTGGGGAATGTGGATTGGGAGCAGCTGTTTGAGGGTAAATCCGCATTTGACATGTGGGAGGCTTTTAAAGAGAGGTTGATTAGAGTGCAGGACAGACATGTCCCTGTGAAAATGAGGGATAGAAAGGGCGAGATTAGGGAACCATGGATGACAGGTGAAATTGTGAGACTAGCAAATAGGAAAAAGGAAGCATACATAAGGTCTAGGCGACTGAAAACAGATGAAGCTTTGGAAGAACATCGGGTAAGTAGGACCAATCTGAAACAAGGAATTAAGAGGGCTAAAAGGGGTCATGAAATATCTTCAGCAAACAGGGTTAAGGAAAATCCCAAAGCCTTTTATTCATACATAAGGAGCAAGAGGGTAACTAGAGAAAGGATTGGCCCACTCAAAGACAAAAGAGGGAAGTTATGCACAGAGTCAGAGAAAATGAGTGAGATTCTTAATTAGTACTTTGCATCGGTATTCACTGAGGAGAGGGACATGACGGATGTTGAGGTTAGGGATAGATGTTTGATTACTCTAGGTCAAGTCAGCATAAGGAAGGGGGACGTGTTGGGTATTCTAAAAGGCATTAGGGTGGACAAGTCCCCAGGTCCGGATGGGATCTATTCCAGATTACTGAGGGAAGTGAGAGACGAAATAGCTGGGGCCTTAACAGATATCTTTGCAGCATCCTTGAGCACGGGTGAGGTCCCGGAGGACTGCAGAATTGCTAATGTTATCCCCTTGTTTAAGAAAGGTAGCAAGGATAATCCAGGAAATTATAGACCGGTGAGCCTGACGTCAGTGGTGGGGAAGCTGCTGGAGAAGATACTGAGGGTTAGGATCTATTTACATTTGGAAGAAAATGGGCTTATTAGTGATAGGCAGCATGGTTTTGTGAAGGGAAGGTCATGTCTTACCAACTTGATAGAATTCTTTGAGGAAGTGACAAAGTTGATAGATGAGGGAAGGGCTGTAGATGTCATATACATGGACTTCAGTAAGGCATTTGATAAGGTTCCCCACGGTAGGCTGCTGGAGAAAGTGAAGTTGCATGGGGTCCAGTGTGTACTAGCTGGATGGATAGAGAACTGGCTGGGCAACAGGAGACAGATAGTTGTAGTGGAAGGGAGTTTCTCAAAATGGAGAACTATGACCAGTGGTGTTCCATAGGGATCCGTGTTGGGACCACTGTTGTTTGTGATTCCTTAAATGATCTGGAGGAAGGTATAGATGGTCTGATTAGCAAGTTTGCAGATGACACTAAGATTGGTGGAATAGCAGATAGTGAAGGGGTCTGTCAGAGAATGCAGCAGAATATAGATAGATTGGAGAGTTCGGTGGAGAAATGGCAGATGGAGTTCAATCCAGGCAAATGCAAGGTGATGCAATTTGGAAGATCCAATTCAAGAGCGAACTATATGGTAAATGGAAAAGCCCTGGGGAAAATTGATACACAGAGAGATCTGGGCGTTCAGGTCCATTGTACCCTGAAGGTGGCAACACAGATGGATAGAGTGGTCAAGAAGGCATACGGCATGTTTTCATTCATCGGACGGGGTATTGAGTACAAGAGTTGGCAAGTCATGTTACAGTTGTATAGGACTTTGGTTCGACCACTTCTGGAATACTGCGTACAGTTCTGGTCGCCACATTACCAAAAGGATGTGGATGCTTTGGAGACGGTGCAGAGGAGGTTCACCGGGATGTTGCCTGGTATGGAGGGCGCTAGCTATGAAGATAGGTTGAGTAGATTAGGATTATTTACATTAGAAAGATGGAGGTTGAGGGGGGACCTGATTGAGGTCTACAAAATCATGAGAGGTATAGACAGGGTGGATAGCAAGAAGCTTTTTCCCCAGAGTGGGGGACTCAATTAAATTACTAGGGGTCACGATTTCAAGGTGAGAGGGGAAAAGTTTAAGGGAGACATGCGTGGAAAGTTCTTTACGCAGAGGGTGGTGGGTGCCAGGTGCCAGGAACGCATTGCCAGCAGGGGTAGTAGAGGCAGGCACGATAGCGTCATTTGAGATGTATCTAGACAGATACATGAATGGGCAGGGAGCAGAGGGATACAGATCCTTGAAAAATAGGTGACAGGTTTATATAGAGGATCTGGATTGGCGCAGACTTGGAAGGCCGAAGGGCCTGTTCCTGTGCTGTAATTTTCTTTGTTCTTTGTTCTTAAACTGCACTCTCTCAGTTCAAGTTGCCTCTATGCAATTGATAGTTCTTCCTCCCTTTGTATAGCCCCAGTTTCTGTCTACCCCAAGTTCCAAACACCAGGTTCAGAATTTCAACAAAAATTAAAGTTCGGATTTTATTTCCTATAAACTAAGAGGGTCAGTTTCCTACCTAGACTTTCGTTTCAGTTCTGGTTTTGGTTAGCTCAGTTTGTTTCTATCTCTCCACGTACTGTCTTACGGCGCTCTCTCTTATTCTGACCTTCCAAGTGTCATCACCTTTTCGCCTGCTATCCTTGAAATTGAAGTTTATAATTTACATTCTAGCTGCCAACAGTCTGACTGTAGGACCTGAATCTCTGCTGTCTCATTGTTATTGATACTGACACTATCCAGTTCATTGTCTCCGCTCCTGAAGAATAATCTGTAGCCTGTCTGTGAGAGAAGGTAAATCATCATGTGGGACTCACAATGACAGGGACACAATTACACTCAGGAGCTGTGGAATCCCCTATAATAACTGTGTTTCTACATTTTGCTGTTGTCTCTTGTACAGTCCCATGCCCAGGGTTTGGGCTGCACTCTTTCATGGAGCTGACATTTGTAGCACTCACTTTAGCATTTCACACTGGTTTGAGGAAGACACACAGGTTACAGATTCCATACTTCACAGCACTTCCTGACAATCACCCAATCAGCCACTATCCTTTCCTTCACATCCCATCGGGGGCCTGTCTTTGGGAACATATGATCTGCGAACACCCCCCTGTACCATGATACTGATAGTGACTGCTCTGTCCTTCACATTGAGAAGCATTGAGCTCCTACACATACATCTATTCCACATCACACTGGCTGCCTTACCTTTACAGTCCAGGGCTTGGCAATAGATTCCTTCAGGGGTACACAAGCTGCAATAAAAACAACAGCACGAGGTCACAGAGTGTGTGATAAAACGAGGCATTTAATTGATCAAAGCTAATCTCGCTGTAGCTCAGGCATCAGGACCAATACTCACTGACCTTTGAAATTATGTTCCTACCACTCCCTGTGAATCAAATACATTTAATTATATCTCTCAATCATCATTGATACCTTGACCCACTAATCCCAATCTCAACAACAACACACCTTTGTATCGCACCTATGATTTAACAATCATCACAGGAGCACCGTAAAACAACATGGGAGACAAAAGGAGAGATTATTTCAGAGGATCAAAACTTGGTCAAAGAGGCAAATTGGAGCAGTGGTTTGAATTGAAGAGAGAGAGAAAGAAAGGCAAAGGATCTTTGGAGGGAATCCCAATTAAAAAAGTCTTAGTAATTTCTTACAATCATGTAGACTGATGGAAAGAATTTTGGCAGACCAGATTCCACTTTTAAAACTTTTACTAACTACAATCAGCTTAACTCAAACGATACTTAAGAGTGAAGGAATTGTAAAAATAAAAGACCAATTTCACTTTTAGTGGTCAATAGAAACATAAACCTCTTGTTTATGCATTACTTCCATCATCACATGTGGCACTACATACAACCTCAGCGTCTCTCCAACTCAGCTTCTGCAATGTGGGACCTCATCTCTCACATCTTACTCAATGGATTCGGTCCTCATGTCACTTGCATTGGCAGTTGTATTACATTCAAAATTCACGGATATGATACAGCTGTTACACACCTTAGGGTAAGTTCATAAGGCTTTTGCTGGTACACAATCCTCAAGGTTCCCTTCTGTTTCCCACCAAATGATCTTGTTGGCTTACAATGTCAAGTGATTCACCACCCCTGGCTGTGTGCTGTCCCATCAGCAGGTAGATTTCTGCATCAACATTTGATTGTCATTGATCCAGGGATGGAATCTTTGAGTCACCCCATGCAGTGAGTTTGATAGTGGATGGTCAAACCATCACTAGTCCTGTCTGTGTGATGTACATCTGAGGGTGTGAAGTTGGCGGGGGTGGGTGGGGTAATGTTCTGACCTGCCCCAGTCTCTGGTTTTACAGTGAGATCCCACTGACAATCTGTAGGGTGCAGAAGGTTTCTGTTGCTACCAATAGATTCTCTGCTGTTCATTGTACTGACTGTCAGCTCACTGTGTGTGTATATCAATGCTGTGGTCATCCTCACAATCTGACTACATTGGCTGGATACATTGCAACCACAGAACAGTACAGCACATGAACAGGTCCTTTGGCCCACCGTGTCTGTGCAAACAATGATGCCATTCAAAACTAATCCCAACTGCCTGTACACGATCTATATACTTCATTTCCTGCCCCGCTCTAAATGTCTTTTAAACGTTGCTATTATATCATTTTCTACCACCTCCCCTGGCAGAGTGTTCCAGGCACCTGCCTCCACTCTCCGTGTAAAAACCTGACTCGTGCTTCTCCTTTAAACATTCCCCCTTTCATTTTAAACTTATGGCCCCTAGAATTTTACATTTCCACCTTGAGAAAGAGATTCTGACAATCCACCCTCGATCAAGTCACCCATCAGCTTCTGACACTGTTGCAAAAACAAAGTTTGTCTAACTTCTCCTTAAAGCAAATGCACTCCATTAAATTAACATACTGTTTTTTTTTCACCCTCTCCAAAACCTCCACATCATTCTTAATGTGTGGCGACCAGAGCTGCACACAGTACTCCAAATGAGGCTTAACTAAAGTTCAATACTTAGTGCCCCGACTGATTAAGGCAAGCATGCTGTGCATCTTCTGTACAACCTTGTCCACTCATGTTGCCCTTTCAGGGTTATAAGGTAGCCAGGAAGGAACTGAAAAATGGACTTAGGAGAGCTCAAAGGGGGCATGAAAAAGCCTTGGTGGGTAGGATCAAGGAAAACCCCAAGGCTTTCTATTCTTATGTGAGGAACAAGAGGATGGCCAGAGTGAGGGTAGGACCAATCAGGGATAGTGGAGGGAACTTGTGCGTGGAGTCGCAGGAGGTAGGGGACGTCCTTAATGAATACTTTGCATCAATATTCACCAGTGAGAGGGACCTTGACGTTTGTGAGGAAAGCATGAAACAGGCAGATATGCTCGAACAGGTTGATGTTAGGAAGGAGGGTGTGCTAGAAAATTTGAAAAGCATGAGGTTAGATAAGTCCCCTGGGCCAGACAGGATATACCCAAGGTTAATACGGGAAGCGAGGGAAGAGATTGCTGCCCCTTCGGCAATGATCTTTGGGTCCTCACTGTCCACTGGAGTAGTACCAGAAGATTGGAGGGTGGCAAATGTTATTCCCTTGTTCAAGAAAAGGAATAGGGATAATCCTGGGAATTACAGACCAGTCAGTCTTACTTCTGCGGCAGGCAAATTATTGGAGAGGATTCTGAGAGATGGTATTTATGATTATTTGGAAAAACACAGTTTGATTAGAGATGGTCAGCATGGCTTTGTGAGGGGCAGGCCATGCCTCACAAGCCTTATTGAATTATTTGAGGATGTGACAAAACACGTCGATAAAGGTAGAGCAGTGGATGTGGTGTATATGGATATTAGCAAGGCATTCGATAAGGTTCCACATGGTAGGCTCATTTAGAAAGTAAGGAAGCATGGGATTCAGGGAAATTTGGCTGTCTGGATACAGAATTGGCTGTCCAATAGAAGACAGAGGGTGGTAGTAGATGGAAAGTATTCAGTCTGGAGCTCGGTGACCAGTGGTGTTCTGCAGGGATCTGTTCTGAGACCTCTGCTCTTCGTGATCATTATAAATGACTTGGATGAGGAAGTGGAAGGGTGGGTTAGTAAGTTTGCCGATGACACAAAGGTTGGTGGAGTTGTGGACAGCGTGGAGGGCTGTTGTAGGTTGCAACGGGACATTGACAGGATGCAGAGCTGGAGAATGATGTGGCAGATGGAATTCAACCTGGGAAAATTTGAAGCGATTCATTTTGGAAGGTTGAATATGAATGCAGAATACAGGGTTAATGGCAGGATTTTTGCCAATGTGGAGAAACAGAGCGATCTTGGGGTCCACGTCCACAGATCTCTCAAAGTTGCTATCCAAGTTGATAGGGTTGCAAAGAAGGTGTATGGTGTGTTGGCTTTCATTGGCAGGGGAATTGAGTTAAAGAGACACAAGGTTATGCTGCAGTTCTGTAAAACTCTGGTTAGACCACACTTGGAATATTGTATAAAAACCAAAAGAACTGCGGATGTTGTAAATCAGGAACAAAAACAAAGTTGCTGCAAAAGCGCAGCAGGTCTGGCAGCATCTGTGAAGGAGAAAACAGAGTTAACATTCCGGTTCCAGTGACCCTTCCTGAGAACTTGGAATATTGAGTCCAGTTCTGGTCACCTCAGAAGGATGTGGAAGCTTTAGGGATGGTGTAGAGGAGATTTACCAGGATGCTGCCTGGACTGGAGCGCAGGTCTTATGAGGAAAGGTTGAGGGAGCTAGGTCTTTTTTCATTGGAGCAAAGAAGGATGAGAGGTGACTCGATAGAGGTGTACAAGATGATGAGAGGCATAGATAGAGTGGATAGCCAGAGACTTTTTCCCAGGGCAGAAATGGCTATCACAAAGTGGCATAATTTTAAGGTGATTGGAGGAAGGTATAGGGGCAACGTCAGAGGTAGGTTCTTCACACAGAGAGTGGGGGGCACGTGGAATGCACTGCTAGCAATGGGTGGTGGAATCAGCTACATTCGGGACATTTAACTGACTCTTGGATAGGCACATGGAGGATAGTAAAATGAAGGGGATGCAGGTTAGTTTGATTTGCGAGTAGGATAATAGGTCGGCACAACAAAGTGGGCCGAAGGCCCTGTACTGTGCTGTATTGTTCTGTGTTCTATTTGGGCAGCACAGTGGCTCAGTGGTTAGCACCGCTGTCTCACAGGGCCTGGGTTCAATTCCACCCTCGGGCGACTGTCTGAGTGGAGTTTACACATTCTCCGTGTCTGCATGTGTTTTGTTCGGGTGCTCTGTTTTCCTCCCATAGTCTAAAGATGTGCAGGTTAGGTGGATTGGCCATGCTAAATTGCCCGTAGTGTTCAGGGATGTGTAGATTGGGTGGGTTATAGGAGGATGGGTCTTGGTAGGACCCTCTGAGGGCAGTGTGTATCTGTTGGGTTGAAGGGCTTGTTTCCACACGGTAGGGATTCTAAGTTGATGACTTGTATCCCAAGATCCTTCTGTATATCAATTTTCCTCAGGGTCCTGCCATTTAGTGTATCCTTGCCTCCTGCATTCGCCGTTCTGGAAATGTTTCACCTCACTTTTGTCCAGAATTAACCTCCACCCAACTGTCTAAAAGATTTATATCCTTTGACAGCCATCCTCTCTATCCACAACTCCACCCATTTTCAAGTCATCTGCAAACTTATTAATCAGACTACCTACATTTCCATCCAAATCATTTATTTATATTACAAACAACAGAGATACCTGCACCAAAATCCTTGTGGAACTCCATTGGTCAGAGTCCTCCAGTCAGAAAAATACCCCTGCACAACTACCCTCTGTCTGCTATGACCAAGCCAACTTTGTATCCAACTTACCGACTCACCATGGATTCTAATGTGATTTAATCTTCTGGATCAGCCTACCATGAGGGAACTTGTCAAACACGTCACTGAAGTCCATGTAGACAACATCCACTGGCTTACGCTCATCAATCATCTTTGTCACTTCCTCAAAAGACTCAATCAAAATTTGAGAAGACCTCCCCCACATAAAGCCATGCTGACTATCCCTACTGAGTCCATTCTTTTCCAAATGTGAGTAAATCCTGTCCCTAAGAATTTCTCCTATAATTTCCCTACCACTGATGTAAGGCTCATCAGCCTATAATTTCCTGGATTATGCCTGTTGCCCTTCTTAAACAAAGGAATAATATTAATTATTTTCTCATCTTCTGGGAGCTCGCCTGTAGCTAAAGAGGATACAAAGATCTCTGTCAAGTCCCCAGCAATCCTGCTTCCCTCAGTACCCTGGGATAGATTCCATCAGACCCTAGGCACTTAACTACTTTAACATTTTCAAGATGCCCAATTCCTTCTCCTTCAGCAAGCCCTAGAATATCAACATACCCCTCCTTAAACTTACCATCTTATACTTCTCCTTGGTGAGTACCAATTCAAAATATTCATTAAGGACCTCACCCACTTCCTCTGGTTCAACATAGAAATTCCTCTTTTTCCTTGAGATTTAGATTTATTTAATATTGTTACTTGTACCTAGGTATAGTGAAAAGTGTATAATGTCGCCATGCTCTAGTACCATCTTGCATTACAGAATAAATTACTAAATAAATTGGATAAATAGTAAAAGACTGAATGAATTGACGTTACTGTAACAGAAACAGCTTCAGAAGTTCATTTTCGCTCATCATGGCCTTCACGCTCTCTACTTCTCCAGTTGCTGCTGTCTAACATTGTGCCTGGGATCCAGGCAATGTGCTCCTTCCCTCATGTCACTGCTGCCGTCGTTTCCACCACCTCTGAGCTGGAGATGGTCACACTGCGTGGGTCCCACACCTCCCACATTGGACATTGACTGATGGGGTCCTGGCTCGACTTCCAATGTTGCCACCTGAGATGGAGTGGGAATGGAGATACATGGGACCCCAGCCTCCCACAGGAGGACAACAGGAGGCGACACCGGGCAACCAAAACAAAACAAAAAAGTGTAAGCAAGCTTCTGAGCTGGAAAGACAATGATGAAGGAGATAGCAAGAACTGCAGATGCTGGAGTCAGAGTTAATACAGTGTAGAGCTGAAGGAACACAGCAGGTCAAGTAGTATCAGAGGAGCAGGAGAGTCAATGTAGCTATGTGAATGTGGTTGGACCTGCCACATGAGCCCATGACCTATCTTTTCTCTAGTTACCCTCTTGCTCCTAATAAACATATTTTATATGTCTTGGGGGTCTGATCAATATCTGAGATACATTCTCTGCTGTCTGGGCTCCTATAGTGGTGCGGCCTCTGTCCTCTGCAGTAAAAAAAAAAATCTCAAGGCAGTTTATTTTCCCTTCAGTTACTGTAAGCTGTGGCTTTTATTGATAAATAAGAAACCTTTGCAAGTGTAAACCAGCCACCCTGTGCCTTATGCAAAGATGTGAAAGCATCCGAAGAAGGAAGATTGAGAAGCAGCATCTTTTCTGGACAAATATTGTCTCAATAAATCCTGTAAACTGGGACCACTGACCTGCTCTTCTCATCTTTCTATCCACCCATAACACCCCTTTTTTGGCCTCTCTCTCTCTCTCTCTCTCTCGCTTTCTGAATTTGTCTATATGTCTATGGGGAAGTGTTTTTAAAAAGTGAAAAAACAAAGCACTGCAGATGCTGAAGATATAAAACAACACAAAGAATGCTGAAGAGACACAACAGTTCTGACAGCATCTGTAGAGACAGAAACAGAATTAACATTTTGAGTCCAGTGACCTTTCTGCACAGGGTCTGTCTGGAGAAAGGTCACTAGACCTGAAAGGTTAACTCTGTTTCTGTCTCCACAGATGCTGCCAGACCTGCTAAATTTCTCCAGCAATTTCTGTTTTAGTTAATAAAGGGGATTAATGTTTTAATGAGTTGAGTTATTTATTGATGGTTCATACTTGTTTTTGTGTCGTGAGAATCTATTTCTTTGTGATTAATAATAATTCTTGTTCAGTCCTGAAACCTGCTCCATGCTGTCAATCATACTCTGAAAATCAGATAAAGTGGGGAATTACGTACTTCATAAAACCTTTAAATTTTGTGCTGATTGGGAACTGGTGAGGCCTGATTTCCAGTGTACTGTCCCAGTGAGGGGTGACCAGGCTTGGGGCTCATTTAGGATTGATTCGAAACAGAGTCACATTTACCAATAGGCTCATTCTACATTCAGTTGGATAAGTAGTCTGATCATTAACCACTAGACAGTGAGCATACACAAACAGATCAATCAGGAGTTGGGTAAGGGCAAACCTTCTCAATTATCCAGGTATATGGAATTTACATCATCCCCGTAAATCCTGACCCACATACAATCCTTTCTCTAAATCCATCTCTTTGATTAAGACACAATTCCCTGATCTCCAATGTCTGAAACTCTTTGCAATCCAATTCTAAGGACAAAGTTTCTCACCATTGTTTGCATTCGCCCACAAACCAACTCTCGCCAAGTCTCATCTCCTGGTAATCATGGAGACACAATATTGGACATGGGCCTTCGTCACATGGTTTAGTCTGAGCCTGTTCCTGTTGACACTTCCTGTCCAGTGACCCTGAAGTTGAGGTTCTACAAAATCAAAACGTTTAATAGTGAAAAGGTAGTCATTAGTCATTCCCCACCTCCCCTCCCATAGTGACTCCTCCCCACCTCCCCATCCCCACTTGCACCTCCCCACCCATAGGGACCCCGCCCCACCTTCCCATCTCCCCCATAATTACCTCTCCTCATCACTCCTCCTCCCAATGTGCCACCCTCCCGCTCTCATAGCGACCCCTCCCCACCTCCCTCTTCCATCTCATAGTGGCCTCTCCCTCTCATAGTGACCACTCTCCACCTCCCCCTACTCAGTCCCCATAGTGTTACCTGCCCACCTACTCCTCCACCCATCCCTCCACACTTCCATCTCCCAAACATTGCTCCTCTCCAGCCTACTCTGTGTCCCTCCCACTTCTCACATCTCCTGCACACCCACCATAATCCATCGCAAACTCAGATAACATTCGTCTTCCCCCAGATTCTCTCATTCCTTCTCCCAAACCCACCTCAAACTGTGTTCCCTGTGTCTCTTTCTCCCTCTCCTGTGCTCCCTCTCTCTCTCTCCCTCCCTCCCGTGTTCCCTGTATTCCTCCCTCCCTGTGTTTCCTCTCTTTCTTCTCCTCCTCCCATGTTCCCTCTCTCTCTTCCCTATCGTGTTCCCGGTCTCTCTCTCTCCCTCTCTCCCTTGAGCTTCCTGTCTCTCTCCCTCCCCTGTGTTTCCTGTCTCTCTCTCTCTGTCTCTCCCTGTCTCCCTCCTGTGTCCCCTGTCTGTCTCCCTCCCGTGTGTTCCCACTGACCCTCCTCCACTTCTATCTTCCAGGAACCGCTCTCCCCTGGCAGACACAATGCCCTGGCTATCCTTTCCTGTGAGGGTTAAAATGTCTCTACTTGCTGCTTATTAAATTTCATAATGTCTCTCAATGACAATTCACAGCAACAAAGGACTCAGGAACAGGAGTAGGCCATTCAGTCCCTCTAACCTGCTCCTCCATTCAAGATCATAGTTGCGTTCTCAGCTCCTTTTTCCTGCTTGTCCCAATATCCCTCAACTCCTTTGTCTATTAAAGGTCTACCGAATTCAGTCTTGAATACATTTAAATACCCAGCCTCCATTGCCTTATGAAGAGAATTTCACACTAATAACCCTTTGATAAAATAAAAGTCTCCTCATTTCTGGCTCCCTATAACCCCTTAGTTTTCTTCCCACACAGGAGGCAATATCCTGTTGGTATCTCACCCTGCCCACCCTCATTTCTTTTTTAGTCATTCTTCATTGGTTCCCAAAGTCTACCCAATCCTCTGGCTGACCAATAACTTTCACAGATACCCAGCATTTCTTTCAATCTAGTATAATTATTAGCTTCCTCAGTCATTAACAAGTGACAGTCCTTCACAAACTGCCTTTCATTCTCACAGGGTCAAATCTTTGCAGAGAGCTCCTTAACGGTTCCTTAAAATTCTTCCACTGCAACTCTACTGACCCACCTTCAAATCTGGTTTCCCAGTTCACCACGGTCAGCTCTGTCTCCATTTCCTAATGGAAAATGCATATTTGTAGAGAGAGGGGTGGGTGTGATGGGGATGCTCTGTAGAGAGTTCGTGTTGACTTGATGGGCTGAATGGTCTTTCCAGACCACAGGGATTCTATGATTCTACGATTGTAATGTTCGCACATCACACGTATTTTTCTTCATTCATTCATGGGATGTGTTGTCCTTCTCTAATCGCCCCCTAAAGTGGATTCTTGGGCTACTTCAGACCACATTGCAGTAGGCCTGGAGTCACATGGAGGCAGACCAGGTAAAGATGGCAGATTTCTTTCCCTAAAGAGTTTTCACAATGATTGATGGTAGTGTCTTGATCAGCATTATTGAGACCAGCTTTATATTCCCAATTTAATGATTGAGTTTAAACTCCACTGGCTGTGGTATGGGATGTGAATCTGTGACCTCAGCCTAGGCCTCTGGTTGACTCATCCAGTACCTTTACAATGACACCACCATCTGTGTTAACTTTGATCCTCTTTTGATGAATGTGGTGTATATTCAGATTCAGGGCTTTAAATTTTAACTCTTGTTTGTGTTTTTGGGCCCCTTCCTGTCATATATACACTGTTCATCCTTACCCCCAATACTTTGGTACTTGTTTGTTTCCAGTTACTTTGCAATATCACCCATTATCTGACCAATATGCCCATTATTTATTGAAGAGTTGTATTCCCAGTTTAGTTGAATTCCCTGTCCTCCACCTTTTGCTGATATCTCAGGCACCTCACCTGAACCGTGTCTGCAGACCAGTGCCACAGGTGATGCTGCACTGGGACCATGTGGACCATTGACTCCAGGAACAGTCACTGGTTGGACAGGTGTAGTTTGAACAGATGATCCGGCCCTCGGTACATGTGCAGTTATTACAGTTGCTCTGTTGCATGCTCCCTGGTGCCCAGGTTTGTCCAAGTGTATCAGTACACTGACATTGCCAAGGTGCAACACACATACCATCCTGCTCAAGATAACCTGCAAACACCAGAGAAACATTTAGCCACTTCATCCCTCAACAGCTTTTACAGAATTTCACGCTTCTACTTAATAGATGAGCTGAATATTATTTAAACGGAACAACACTGCAGAAAGCTAGAGGTTTCAGAATCTTTCTCCATCACAAAAAAATCCAGTATCCAAGTTCTGCAAATAATAGGGAAGACAAATGGAATGTTGGCCTTTATTTCAAAGGGAATGAAGTGTAAAAGTAGGGAGGTTTTGCAAAAATTATATAAGGCACTAATCAGAGCACAGCTGGAATATTGTAAAAAGTTTTGATCCCTTATCAAAAAGAAACATACACTGGCATTGGAGGCAGTCCAAAGAAAGCTTACTATATTGATACCAGGAATGGAGGGACTATCTCATGAGGAGAGGTTGAGTAGATTGGGTCAGTAATTGTTGAATGAGAGGTGACCTCATTGAAACCTACAAGCTTCTTAGGGGGCATGTTTCTTCCTCAGTGACAACAGACACAGCAGCTTCTCTGCAATTACTTTACTTCTGCTTTTTGCTGAACTGGACCCATATTTGTTATTGCTAATCTTTTCCTTTCTACTTACCTGCAGAAGATTTACATTCATTTTCAAGTTCCCGTCTCACCTCTATTCTCCTGTTTTTAGAACAGTTTTTTGGTCATCCTTTGCTGAATTCTAAAATGCTCCCACTCATCGACTTTACTGCTTACCTGGCAACTTCATAAATCTCTTTGTTTGACCGAATACAATCCATAATATCCTGTTCAGATGTTCAGCTAAAACAGGCACACAAATATCAGAGAGTGAACAACTTTTCTTTTTACTCTCCATTTTCTTCAGGGAAAAGGTATGGCCATGGGTACCCGCATGTGCCCCAGTTATGCCTGTCTCTTCATGGACTACGTGGAACATTCCTTGTTCCAGTCCTACTCCAGCCTCCACCCACAACTCTTTCTCTAATATATTGATGATATCATTAGCGTTGCTTCCCCCTCTTGTCTGGAATTGGAAAAGTTTATCAATTTAGCTTCCAATTTCCACACTGCTGTTATCTTAACCTGGTCCATCTCTGACTCCTCCTTTCCTTTCCTTGACATCTCCCTTTCCATTTCTGGGGATAGGTTAACTACCAGTATCTACAACAAACCAAGTGATTCCCACAATTATCTTGACTATACATTCTCACACCTTGCTTCCTGTAGAGATTCCATTCCATTCTCTCAGTTCCTCTATCTCTGTTGTATCTGTTCAGATGATGCTAACTTTGACAAGGGGGCCTCTGAAATGTCCACCTTCTTTCTCACTTGATGATTTTCCTCCACCGTGTTTGACAGGGTCCTCAGACATGTCCGACCCATCTCCCACACTTCAGCCCTCACACACTCTCTTCCTTCCCACAAAAGCAATAGGGTCTCCCTTGTCCTTACCTACCACACCACCCCTCCCCAACTGTCAGAGGGTCAGTGTTGAGGGAGTGCCTTCACATGGACATATAAGGTCAGAAATTGCACAACACCAGGTTATAGTCCAACAGGTTTATTTGAAATCACAAGGTTTTGAAGCACTGCCCCTTTATAAGATGAAGTGAAGGGCACAGGCACAGAATATGTAGCAGAGAGAGTGGAGCGTAAACAGGCTGAATAACAAATCTCTGCAGGTGATCATAAGACAGCGTGAGTGTCAACTGTGCCAACAGCTAAATAGCAAGCGAAGGGATGACTTATAATCCGATTAAATGAGGCAGAGGGATAATTACAAAAAATTCAAAATAAGATGGTGCTGGAGACAAACCAAATGGCTAGAATAACATGATAGGTACAAGAATTGGAATGTAACAAGTAATCCAAAATTGTACAAACTAATAAAGGTAGAGAGATCATAATAAGTTGTCAAGGTGATGGTGTTAAAACAGGACAGTAAGGAAGATTTTACACAGACAGGACAGTATGGTGGGGTTTCATGTAGCTCGACATGAACCCAAGGTCATGGTTGAGGCTGTCTTCATAACTAAAGAACTTGACTATCAGTTTCAGCTCAGCAAACCTACATTGATGTGTATCTCAAAGGCTGCCTTGGAGGATATTTACCCGAAAATCCGAGGCTGAATGTCCCTGACCACTTGACCAACGTTGTCTCTCTCATACACTACACGCAAGGATGCCCTGAGGCATGTAATAATGGTGAGACCATGCAGACGCTATGACAACAGATGAATGGACACTGTGCAACAATTGCCAGGCAGAGAAGTTCCCTCCCTGTGGGGGAACACTTCAGCGGGTCAAGGACAATTGGCCTCAGATCTTTTGGCAAATGACTTCCAAGGTCGCCTTCCAGATACACAACAACACAGAGTCACCGAGCAGAAACTGACAGCCAAGTTCTGTACCTATGAAACTACATGCACTAAATGTAACCCCACCGTACTGTTCTGTCTCTGTAAAATCTTCCTTACTGTCCTGTATTAACACTATCACCTGGATAACTGGTTATGATCTCGCAACATTAATTAGTTTGTGCAGTTTTGGATTACTTGTTACTTTGGTTAGACCCTCGGCATGTGACTCTTACACCTCTTATTTTTTGGAATTATCTCTCTCCCTCAAATAATTGGATTGTAGGTCATCCCCTTCGCTTACTTTACAGCTGTTGACACTTTACTCACACCATCTGACAATTCTGATCACCTGCAGAGATTTATTATTCGACACTCCACTCACACTATTTGTATGATTTTTTGATCTCTCTGTCTATAAATTCTGTGCCTGTGCACTTCTGATCCCTTCATCTGACAAAGGAGTAGTGCCCCGAAAGCTTGTGATTTCAAATAAACCTGTTGGACTCTCACCTGGTGTTGTGTGATTTCTGACCTTGTCCACCCCAGTCCAACACCGGGACCTCCACATCATGGAAATAAAAGATCCCACAACACCACTTGGAAAATAGGAAAGGAAACCAACTCCATCAATACCATTAGCAGATGCAATCCTGCTGCTGTTTGTGAAAGCCTGCCATGCACTGATTGTTTACTATTTTACCCACATTACACATGGGAGTACCATTCCAAAGTAATTAATGAAATGAAATGCATTGAGATGTGGAAAGTGCTATTGGAATGTAAGTGTTGCTTCATGATTTCTGTTAAATTGGAGCTGTCTGGGACTGGAGCATTGTGCAGAGTTTGGCAGCTCTTGGGCACTCACCGTCAGGGCATCGACAGCCAACTTCACACCTTTCTGCATCAGCACACACTATTCCAGCCTGCAGATCAACACAGGACCTTGGGCACTGATTGGCACAATCAACCCACTGCATCACAGAGGGACACACACCAGCTCCTGAGGGATCACAAGATCAAACAGCAAGATTAGAATGGATCACAGCATCTCTCATAGAGAACCAACCCCACCAAACCCCATCCCCTAGAGAAACCCCCCAAAAGCTCCTACCCAGAGAAACACACCATAAACCCCACTCAGAGAAACCCCCACTTCATAAACCCCCACCCGCAGAAAACCCCCCAAAAATCTCAACCCAGAGAATACTCCCTCAAAACCCCCACCCAGAGAACATTCCCTCAAAACCCCCATCCAGAGAACACTCCCTCAAAAACTTGCACCCAGAGAAACCCTCCCAATACCCCTACCCAGAGACCACTCCCACAAAACCCCCACCCGGAGAACACTCCCCCGAATATCCCCACCCAGAGAAACTCTCCCAAAACCCCCACCCGGAGACCACTCCCACAAACCCCCACCTGGAGAACACTCCCCCAAAATCCCCACCTGGAGAAACACCCCCCCCAAAACCCCCACCTAGAGAAACCCCCCCAAAGCCCCCACCCAGAGAAACCCTCCCAAAACCCCTACCCTGAGAAAACTCCTCCAAAACACCCACACAGAGAAATCCCCTCAAAAACCTGCACCCAGAGAACACTCCCTCAAAACTCCCACATGGAGAAACCCCCTGAAAACCTCCACCTGGAGAAACCCCCCTCAAAAATCCCCATCCAGAGAAACCCCCCTCAAAAACCCCCACCTCAAGAATCCCACCTCAAATCCCACTCCCAAAAACCCCCACCCAGAGAAACCCCCACTTCGGGAAACCACTAACTCCCCCAGAGAAACACCACCTCCGAGAACACCCCCCACCCCAACTATCTGCCCCACAAAAAAACCCCACCTCAGAGAAACACCACCTCCCAGAGAGACCCTCCAACCCCTCAGGCCAGCTCTGCCCCTTGTCCCTTGACCCTGGATCCCCCGTCCATGCCTTGCCTCCATTTTCCAAACCCTATCCCTGTTGCATAATTCTATCCCTCAACCCACTCACAAACTCCATCCCAGAAACCTCACATCCCATGGTGTTGACCAAAAACTCATCTGGACTCACCACATTAACACAGTGGCTACAAGAGTAGGCCAGAAGCTGGGAATAGTGCAGCGAGTAACTCACCTCCTCACTCCCCAAAGCCTGTCCACCATCTACAAGGCACAAGTTAGGAGTGTGATGGAATACTCCCCACTTGCCTGGATGGGTGCAGCCCCAACAACACTCAAGAAGCTTGACACCATCCAGGACAAAGCAACCCACTTGATTGGCACCACATCCACAAGCATCCACTCCCTCCACCACCAACGCTCAGTAGCAGCAGTGTGTACTATCTACAAGTTGCACTGCAGAAATTCACCAAAGATCCTCAGACAGCACTTTCCAAACCAACGACCACTTCCATCTAGAAGGACAAGGGCAGCAGATACATGAGAACATCACCCCCTGCAAGTTCCCCTCCAAGCCCCTCCCCATCCTGAATTGGAAATATATCACCTTTCCCTCACTGTTTCTCAGACTGAAACCCAATTTCTCTAACCATCACTACCTGGACACCAACCATGATCACTCACCCTCAGGTACAATCATCACAATTCACCAAAATCCAACCCAAACTGAGTCAGTGCAATCATTGCTTCTCCCAGTCAGCCACTTCCAGCCCATACTTCCCTTGTCCCTCAGTGAGTCAGCCACCTACCAGCTCAGTCAATAATGTCACCACCCCCACTGACCCCCAACCATCTCCTAAACCAGCCCAACTGTGCAGCCAGCAAATCACTGCAGTCATACAGAATGATTCTGTCCTTCTCACCACATGGTTGCATATTACACAGCTTCACTTCAAACCGATCTCCTGGGCAGCGACGTCCCCCATTCTTCGGGGGTGGGTCAGTACAAGACCGAATCCGGAGTGCCTTCCCTCCTCCACAGGAACGGTCACATGTCGACCAAGGACTCCAACTGGACCATGCGCCATTCACTGACAAACCAAGAGAAACATCAGTTAGTGATCACTGGATCTCCATCTCCACCCACAGAGCAGGTGGGGCAAGTGAGCGGGCAACACGACAGAGCATACAGTGGAGAAGTGAGAGACTCTCGACTTCGGTAACTGGAATAGAAAAGCAGAATATTTTTTATTAGGTATCAGAAAGGCTCATGCGCACTCATGCAATGATCACAAATCCAGTAAAAAGCTACAACAAACTATTGAGAAAGCAAATAGCAAGTTGGCCTTTATTGCAAGGAGTTAGGAGTCTTATTTTAATTCCACAAAACTTTGGCAAGACCATATCATGTAAAGGCTATACCTTTCTATTTCTCTGGATTTTGATTGTGAACTGAAATGGGGAAAGTATTGTTTTAAAAACCAAGGATTGCTGCACTTTTGACAAGCAGTTGCGGAAATTCATTATAAGTTGTGTTTACACAGCTGCTTTGTTCAAGTATTGGGGAAGATGTTTGTAGACAGTCCAGATTTCGGGGATCTATAGAAAAGGGAATTGATCTGGCTACAGGTTGCTGATTGGTTTGTGGAGTTATGACCAGTTTTGGATGACAAAGGCTATCAGCTTGATAACAATTATCTGATTGGCCCCTGGCTAGCCCAACAGCTTGTGGGGGCTCATGACAGTGGTAGAAAAGTCCAGATTGCTGAAAGGGATAAGTAGTGTATCTTTCCAGTGAAATATTTCAAGCCTGAACAAAGCCAGTTTAATTTCCCTCACTAGTTGCTGTAAGCTGTGGCCTGAAGTGGTTATTAAAAGATTTTAATCCTCCTATTACCTGTACCTGAATGTTCTCCCACTGAAACTTGATTCACTTGACCCACCTCATTTCCAAGGACCAATACATCCTTCCTGTTGAACTGGACATAAAGTGCTGTAGGAAGCTCTGTCTAACACAGTCCAGGAACCTTTTCTCCTTGCTGTCCCCCCGCCCTGTATCCTAGGCTATGTTTGAGTAATTGAAGTCTCCCTTTATAATTACTCCATAATGTTGAGATTTCTGTGGAATTTCCTTGCGGATTTGTTCCTCTACGTCTTTTCCATTTATTAGTAGTCTATAGAGTACACTGTGCAATGTAATCGTACCCTTTTAATTCCTTTGCTCTAGCCAACTTCCCTCTGTCCTTGAACCCTCCGAGGTATCCTTTTTTTCCGTCACTGAGATGCCCTCCTTAACCAATACTGCAACCTCTCCACCTTTCCAATCTTTCCCGAAGAATACATACCCAGGAATATTTAACACCTGGTCATTCCTTTCCTTGTTATTGCTGCAACATGATATTTCCACGTGACAATCTATAACTCCTCAGCATTATTCACTGTGCTCCATGAATTTACATACATGCACAGTAACTCCAGTTTCGACTTCATTTCTTTCTGCCAAACTCAGATTTCACTCATTAACTGCTGTTCTCTGTGCTAGTGCCAGATGTATTCGCCAGGGACTTTGTGAGCCCTGGTCTCCTCCTCTCCCATTCTCTCCTGGTCCCAACACTCCTCTCCCATTCTCT